ACTTTATACACTTCTGGTAGTAAGAATATGATTAAAAGATAAAACAAAACCCTGATAAACAATTTATGTATTTGGGTTTAAATTGTGTCACAAAAAGAACTGATTTCTTCCGTAATGCCGAAAAACATGCTGCAAAGCAAAGATCCAGTAACAGCAAATATTACTTTGTCCAATAAGGAAAATGTAAAGTCAGCAATGTAAAACACTCCTACATGCAAAACAGCATTGACATGTTTGTTTAACAGCACTAAAAAAAACAGAGTGTTGGATTTACTTAACTAAGTTATATCAACAATTTCCACAAAACTGAGTTGGGTAAATTTAAAAGCCAMTTGCACAGTTACATTACATGTTCAACTCAGTTAAGTGGAAATTGTTGTCATGGTTAAGTTATGTAAATCCAACATGCTGTTTTTGAGTCAACAATTAATTGCCTAAAAGGCTTCCAGTACACCTACAATAAGTAGACAGTCAATTATAACTTGTAAGAAAAACATGTTTTGTAATTATTCAATAAATAATTATTCTTCATTGATCTTTAACTGATGTCAAGGAGAATGTGTTTGGAGAATGGAAATCAGCACTTAAAACATGTTATTTAGCTTATATTACAATGTAAACAAGGTTTGAGTTCGTTTGACAGCACAGTGTTGCAAAGGGACCTTACTTGTTTGCATTGTTGTGTCTGATTACCGACATATGGATGTGTAAGTATGTTCTGTTGTAACTCTCAAAAAGAAGCAAGGCTGTCCAACTCGTATACAGCTGTATTTTGTGTAAACAATTTTCCCAGCTGTCAGTCTATAAGTCTTTTGTATGTAGCTTTATTTCTTGACAATSATTTATAAGTGACACAATTTCTTCTATAGAAGAAAGCATAGTAAGGAAAAATAACCTGTCTAATTTTGTTTCTGGAAAGACATTTTRGAATCAAATTTTGCTATTGAGACATAAGGAGATTAATTTCACACGTCTTCTTTACAATAAAAACAYGATTCGGATGTAAACACTGATTGTGTGTGTCTCTTCCCGTTCTGCCAGATGGAAAGCCAGACAGAGCTGGCAAGACCTRCAACATCTCCCACTGGCTGATGGGGGGGCCGAGCGCAAGATGAGGAGAGCGCACGAGAGCAAATGAGTTATGGAGGAATAAATGAGAAGAAGAGCAGAAGGACTCATCAAGGAGCTCTTCAATTTGAGAGAGCACTCATTTGTAGTGGCTTCCTGCTGTTATCCCATTTACATTTCTTCTCTTGATCTTCTACTCGCTGCCTAAATCACAAACAACACCCAAAATTCCATTCACCTCTTTTTAAATCTATTCTCCCTCTATTTATTTCCAACACTCCTCAATCTGCTCAGCTGTTATTCAAAATCTCTGGATGCCATGCCCTAAAGTCAGTTCCCCGATCCTAAGCACATTCTCATTGGAAGGGTATAAAACTACAATGCAACAAATGTAAAATGCCACTAACTCATTTTAATTATTTWGTTCACTTTATGGGTGTAAAATTTTAGTTAAAAAAGTTCCAACATTTTGTTGTTATTTAGCTCACTGTTCTTAAGTTTTGCTAAGTTTTTACAAAATGTTACATTTAAACGTTATGTCTAAATGTTAAATCCTAAATCTGAAAGTGTAAATCTAAATGTAAAAATTAAATGATGAATGTTGCAGATAGGGTGTTTCAGAATGGAACACAGCCTTTAACGTTGATGCTCGGCTTGTGTTGTGACGTCATCATCCTGCGACAAAAGCAAATGCTAATGCTGCTGAAGATGGCGTTTAAATTTTAAATTCAAAATGTGTTCATTGAAAACAATATGGTTGGTACCTTTGGTCCAGCAGTTTGAAATGCAGCTCAGACAACTGTGAGTTTGACGTTTTGTAGGGAAACATTAGCAGTGTTAGCAGCATTAGCATTTGCTTTTGTCACARGATGAAAAGGCATGTTCTTACTCAAGGATAAAATTTGTGCTCTGCATTTGACCCATCACACATGAGAAACACCCAAGTGGAGCAGAGCAGCTATGTGAGCACCCGGGGAGAAGTTGGGGGTTWGGTGGCTTGCTCAAAGACACCACGGCGTTAGCATGRTGGGGAGTAGAACYTGTGACTTTCTGGTCCCAAGTCGGCTGCTCTACCGCTACACCACAGCCGCCCCATGTGATGGGATGACATCATATCGTAACGAAAAGCCACACACCAACGGAAAAAGCTGCATTCTATTCTGAAATACYTCAATGTAAACTTTAACTTTCAGCCATAACATTTATGTTTAGATTGACACATTTTGAAATAGGATTTAACAATAGTGTACTAACTCTCCTTCACTTTATAATAAGGCTCCGTTTGATATAGGGCTGCCACAAACAATTATTTTTATAATCGATTAATCACCAATTATTTTTTTTCGATTAGTCGACTAATTGGATCATACGTTAACTGAATATAAAACATAGAGCTTATTGCGCCAGAATGCAGCTGCTATTAAATAACCATCGTTAGATTTTAGCTTTATGCTAACTAAAAATAATTGCTGTGGAAGGCAAGTTCTGCTCTGCAGATATTACACAGGTTTCTCTTTCATTTTCTTAAAATGATCCCACACTTTTGAGCTCCGTTGCTGGGAAGCCATGATACCAGAGCCTGTCTGTATAATGTCTTGTGACGTCCACGGCCTACCCCAGTTACCACTACTGTGCATGTGTGTCAAGGACAGAAAGGCAGATGTGGCAGTGGAAAGGGTCAAAGCAGTTTGGAGAGAAAAACAAAGTAAAGAACAAMAAMAAAAAAGAAAACGATTAATCRATTATTAAATTAGTCATTGATTAYTTTAATAATCGATTAGTGGTCGATTAATCRATTAATTGATTAATCGTTGCAGCCCTAGTTTGATAATTATGGATATGTGCAATGCAGTAATGCAGTACAATTATGTTCAAAATATGTGTTTCCAATACAATAATGTGCTTAAAAGGTAGTAACCTAGTCTGAAATGTTTACTACAGCACTTTAGACATAATATGTACTGTACGTACATGTAAAGGCTTGGCTCACTAGTTAGCAAGWAATCTGACAGTTTTGTCTCTTTCTTATCCTTAATTAATGGATAATAAGCACTTTAAAGTGGTTTAGAAAGTGTTTGCAGATGAATTAATAACCTATCTATAAATTATTCATAAGCCATGTGTAAGGGGAGCCTTATTGTAAAGTGGTACCTTATTTTTTAACATTTTATTTTACAATTGGTGCCCAGTTAAAAAGATAATGCTATTGAATAATATAACATATAATGCTTGTGTTTCAAGGATAGTAAAGACAGAAATCAAACCAATAAYATACTTACTTGTGCAGAGCACTTGGTGGAAGTTTGCTTGTTTTTTCCATTTGTCCATAGCAGGATGTCTTGGCTTCAGGAATATCCCCAAACTCATCCAACATGGCTGCTGCTGCTAAAGTTATGATCCCCAGTCCATCACGGACTCGTGCCTCCAACGGGTAGTCCCAGTCGTCATARGACACTGAAATCATTCCTGATGGAAACGCCTCTGGTGTAATTTCCGTGTTCCCTGTCGTCAGCGATGGCACAATCCAGATGTATCCAAATCCAGTCAGGCCCAGAGAGCGAGCCTCCTCCAGGATGTAGACCGCTTCGTCTTTGGAGCAGTAGAGCAATACCACTGGAGACTGGACCTTCTTGAGCATAATCTGRGAGCGACTGTCCTCCTCCACAGCATCCAGAGTGATGATATTTTGGAGGTCCCAGCCCACAAAACTAGAGCAAGAAAAAAAAAAGACAAAAACAAAATGGAAAATTAAACATTTACCTAAAAGATTATTACATTTTTTATAGCGTTAGACAAGCAGGCATGCTCGTCATTCGTTTGGCTTGTGTTGTACAAAGTGTTTTATGATGGATGCCTGAGCACAAACCTCTGGATTATGAGATCATTTAAGACATTTATYGGGACTGTTTTCCATTTTAGTTTAATTTGTTATCTTTCCCTTTGTGTCTGGAGCAGATGAGTACCAGTGGGTTCCAGTATGAGTTAAACGGCAGCAGAAATAAATTAAACTGTGCTTTAGTTTTATCAGTAGTTAGTGCTTGYTAGAACCTGCCAGGAGAAAGAGGCATAGAAATGAATGTGCACACAATATGGACTGAGTAAGTGAGCGTTACAAAGWGTGACACAGGTAAGGGAAAAGAGGAGAACAGTTAACCTGCATGCAAGGATTTTACTATCGACACAGTGGAACAGGAGAGCAATTTGAGACTTGCTCTTTTCCCATTGTGCCAGGCTTACAAGCCCCAAAAGGCAAAACTGTGAAGCCCCGTCTCCATTGTTGAGTCTTACTCTGTTCGGTTCATGTACTGTATATTTGGTTCCGCTCAGGTGTGTATGTGTCTCAGTTGTAATTTTAATGTCTGGTAGTCAAACCTTTTTTATGTGGCACTGTTTATAAGTGCTTCTGTAACCATGGGTGGCCAGTGTGTCCAAAACCTGCCTCATACAGCCAATCCATGGGCAGAAGTCGGCAGACATCAAAATTGCAATACAAAGTTCTACCTGCTTAGAATCCTTTCGGAGGTGATTCTGAAAGCTCGGGTGGAAATGGAAATGGAGACATGAGAGGGGGCTTTGGAGAGACAATGAAACAGTCTCACAGGAAGACGTTGACAAAAAGAWGCAACAAAAGAAGACAAGGGTAATAAAAATTATGAACTGATGCAATTAAATTAAAAGACCATCTTGGAATCTGAAAAATGTGTCCATGTTTACGAATAAAATGACACCATGCTCTGCAGTATCAGAGACTGAAAACATTCAGCTATAGTGACTGCTCAGATTAAAAGTCTATTATCAGACATGGCTGTGCTCATCAGTTTAAAGCGACAGTGATCGGACATCTGCTATCAGAAACGGCATAGCAAAAAAAATGTAACTTTCAGAACACGGTGCATTTCTGACAGTGAACTTTGAGATACTCACATCTAGTGAAATACGCACAGAGACATATGAACACCTGCCAAAATAAATCTGAGATCATTATGGTGGACATCTGGGATACTTTAGATTAGACTGGTGTCCCTGCAATTACTGAACTATGGCTGGCAAAGTAATTGAAATAATGTGATTCCAAATCTCAATAGAGTGGTACTTTAAGTATGTTGAGCTGAAACTGGTAATGTACCCATGTTTCAAACTATTATATTCCACAAAGCCCTTTAATTATTTCCTTAGGCACCCAGAGACTAAATGGTGCTCAAGAACAGAGATTAAATGAACACAAAAAGGGAATTTAGTAATATTTAAACCTAATGAGAAGTTATTCTAATTATGGGAACCGGTTTTTAAAGTGTACATACTGTATTTACTAGTTTTGTAAATGTCACAAACAATAAATCGTTTTTTTAAGCAACTGACTAAATAAGAAGGCCAAGTTACTAAAATGTGTTCATTTGGGCTAAGTCAATTTTAAAAGTTATTAATCAGCTAGTGAAAAACAACTGTCAGATTGCCAGTTGACACAAACATTTTCTTAGATCTCATAGTATTAAAATGTGTTTTTGATAAACTTGTTCATCGTGTTTCCCCTCCCAATAGGAATTCATTATTTAAAGATGCTAGTCATAAARTTAAAATATCATGAAAAAGTTGATTTCACTAATTCCATTCAAAAAGGGAAACTTGTATATTGTATTCATTCCTTACACAGGGACTGATATATTTCAGATGCTTATTTCTTTTAATTTTGATGAYTATAACCATCAACCAATGAAAATCCCAAATTCAGTATCTCAGAAAATTTGAATATTACTGAAGACCAACACAAAAAATATTTTTTTAGAAATGCTGGCCAACTGGCCATGAACATGAAAAGTATCATGAACAGCACTCAATATTTAGTTGGGGCTTCTTTTGCCTGGATTATTGCAGCAATGCGGCGTGGCATTGAGTCAATCAGTCTGTGGTACTGCTCAGGTGTTATGAGAGCCCAGGTTGCTCTGCTAGTGGTTTTCAACTCTGCTGAATTGTTGGGTCTGGCATATTACGTCTTCCATATTACATCTTCCTCTTCACAATACCTTATAGATTTTCCATCGGGTTAAGGTCTGGTAAGTTTGCTGGCCAATTAAGAACAGGGATACCATGGTCCTTCAACCAGGTACTGGTAGCTTTGGCACTGTGTGCAGGTGCCAAGTCCTGATGGAAAATGAAATCTGCAACTCCATAAAGTTGGGTCAGCAGCATGAAGCATGAAGTGCCCTAAAACTTCATGCGGTTGCTTTGACCTTGGACCTCAAAAAAACACAATGGACCAACACCAGCAGATGACATGGACCCAAACCACCACTGACCGTGGAAACTTTACACTGGACTTCAAGCAACGTGGATGAAGTGCCTCTCTTCTTTTCCTCCAGACTCTGGGACCTTGATTTCCCCAAAAAATTCAAATTTGACTTTTATCAAAGAACATAACTTTGGRCCACTCAGCAGCAGTCCAGTCCTTTTTGTCTTTAGCCCAGGCAAGACACTTCTGATGCTGTCTCTTATTCRAGTGGCTTGACACAAGGAATGCAACTGCTGAAACCCATGTTTCTGTCTGTGCATGGTGGTTCTTGAAGCACAGACTCCAGCTGCAGTTCACTCTTTGTGAATCTCCCCCCACAWTTTTCAGTGAGTTTTGTTTTGTTTTTATGCCACATCATTTCCTTCCCTTCACCTCTCTATTAATGTGCTTGGACACAGAGCTCTGTGAAAGGCCCAGCTTCTTTAGCAATGACCTTTTGTGTCTTGCCCTCCTTGTGCAAGGTCGTCTTTTGGACAACTGTCAAGTCAGCAGTTTCCCCTATGATTGTGGAGCCTACAGAACTAGACTGAGAGACCATTTAAAGGCCTTTGCAGGTGGTTTGAGTTAATTAGCTGATTAGAGTGTGGTACCAGGTGTCTTCAGTATTAAACCTTTTCACGATATTCAAATTTTCTGATATACCGAATTTTGTGTTTTCATTAGTTGTCARTTATAATCATCAACATTAAAATAAATAAACATTTGAAATATGTCAGTCTGTGTGTAATGAATTAATATAATAYACAACTTTCACTTTTTGAATGAAATTACAGAAATAAATCAACTTTTTCATGATGTTCTAATTTTATGACCAGCACCTGTAACTGTACTACAAAAACATGGCAATATATGCAATAAATATCATCGGCCGTGGTGCTTTTAGGGTTAGGACTCTTAATTTTTTTTCTGACTTTCTGAAGTTCAGTCTCTGGCAGCCATTTAGATCAAAAATGCCCAACAGATATTCAAAAATTCAAACTTTGAAACTCATATCAAACATACCAAATGTGAAAATCCATTGCTTTTTGGGCATTCCCAGATCCAGACACAAAATAAAGACGATGGAGCCTTTTCATTGGTGGTCTCTACTAGGGATGTCCATTGGGAGCTTTACCATAAGGCAATATTACATTGATTTGTTTGGATGACAATACAATGTTTCTGATATCACAAATTCTGTTGTGATAAGACTTTGATTAAATTCAATTCCCAAGTCTGTGACTGATTTGATATTGATCCACATCATACATATGATGTTATGGATCAATGATTTTGTTTTGCCTTGATGTAAAATAATCATTAATCATTTAATCAATGTAGCTCGATGTTTTGTTACACCCCTAGTCATTACACTGTCAAACAGCTCATTGATCATTTTATATTAATACTCAAAGTCTATTTGTCCTCGCAATGTCCTAGTCTTAGTTGAGCAGGAACGTCATGTATTCGTTTTTGTGTGTAATCTATTTAGTATTTATTTATTATGTTTTAATTTTATTTACTTCATATTTATTGCTGATTTTAGCCTGTATACAACACTTTAATTATTTAATTTATTTTATTATTTTTTTAAAAATTCTATGGAAAGAAACCTTGACTTGACTTAATAAAGTTGTGTGTAGCATTTAAGGAGTTTTTAATATTTTTCATTACCAATTTAATGGCTTCTCAGTTTGTGTCCTGTTTCCAAAATAATTTAAAAAGTAGGTGCAAAGTAATTGTTCCCACCTGTTGTCAACTGTAGTTTTTAGGATGTTGATAAACTCCTGGTATCCGGGGAACTTGGATGTGACGATTGAGAAGACATGCCAATCGTACTCCTCCATGATGTTTAGCATCAGCAGAGCCTCCTGCTGGATGGAAGCACCAAACTGGAAGAAAGTTGACTTCACATCCTGGGAAGAAGAAAAATAAGAAGTAGAAGAAAAATAAAGATTTGGTTAAATATTCCTTAGGACCTTTTTTGTAGCAACTTCAGTGTCAGACTAAGCAATCTGCAACGAAGTGTTTAAACTTTGGGACAATGAGTACAAAAATAGGCTTCACACACAAAAACACACATAATAAACTTTCTGTGTTGGAAATGTATAAATGAGGAGCACAGAATAATTTGATTAAGATCTAATTGGACTGGTGCTGTAAGATGCAGGCTTCAGAACTCGGTGCMTTGTTCTTGGAAATGAGAGTTGCATTAACTCATATCACTTCATTAAGTCTGATTGAGAAACATTTGCCACCTCATCCAGCCAAACTTAAACATGAGCTTGGACAGCCCAGAGATGCTCTAATACAGGTGTTCAAATCTCTTCCAGTAATGTATGCCATATTTAAAATGGTTCATTGTACCGAGATTTAAATGCAGTTAGGTGCAATGGGACCAACTATTCTGGAGAAGAAAAAAATATTATTCACTAGATGTCTGAAGTGTTAAAAATAACTGATTATCAGTCTGTTTAACTCTGTCATGTGTGCAAATGTAACACTGAGAATCAACAAATTCACCACGTGCACTAACATACATACAGACAGCTACAATAAATGCAATATTTATGTATATTCACACTGCCCACAGGATACGTCTACAAAAGGGAGCCACTGTAGGATTGATTAAATGATGAAACAGCAATCATAAGGCTGGAAGCCATGTCACGGTGTAATATTGCATAGCCTCGATCTTTTTTGGTGCAGAAGTCAAGTCTCGTCCAATCTGAAGTTGTCTTTACAAAGGCCCAAAAAGCATGTTATTAAAAATGTGTAAAATAAAAATCCTCTGATACAGTGTTGGATTCATTATGAAGCATGTCTCACAAATGCATACAGTCAGTAGTCTCTTGTGTCAGTGAGTCATGGGTGTTTGCGTCTTTGGAGTCACAGTGAGTTCAAACACACAGTTGTGTAAATAATTCTGACTCTTCCCACCATGCGCCAATTTACAGTGTATTGCACACATTTTTACTGCACTTTTTACAAATAATGTTGAGCTTAAAAAATCTTGAAGTAATGCAAATTTTGAAGACTTGCAGGAGCAAAATCAAGAACTTTCACATACAGGACATGTCAAGTTGTATGGATTGTTCGTAAATTAAACAGATTTTCCCCCATTGTGCAGGTATATGGACGTATAGAGAAATCTCACAGATTTGTTTGTCGCTCTTTTTTTTTTCAAACACTCATCATCACATTTTTTTTACATCTCATAGCGTGTAGGACGAAAAAAAGACTAAACTATTAATAAAATAAATACCCATCTCCCAACTCGCTCTGCTGAAATAAGTTCTCCACTTCTCTTCGTTTCCCTACTCCTGTCCTCATGCAGTTGCTGTTACCTCTGCTCCACGTTCTGTCTCTTCCTGTGGCCTACAGTCCGCATGTCAAGCCCCCACCCAAGTAACATGGATTTTCTATGGAAATTACGGATTTTTGAGGGTCAAGATACAGGAAAATGTCTGAAAAGGTTTAAATGTATGCTCTCAAGTCAAGCAGATCAAAGGAAGTACATTTATTTTGAGAGAAAACTTTTAGAAAAGTCAAATTTGACTGGAACACAACAGGACGGCTAGGTCATGGCAAACATTAGCACAAAAAGGGAACAAATGAACCAACATTCCATTTTTTTTCTGTACACCACAGATGATTCATGAACTATCAATAACAATTCTTGACATCTGTATCAATTAAGCAGTCATTCTACAGTTAATTTATGCAAAACAACACACTTATGTTAGCCAATTATCTGATAAAAGTCATCAGTTTTAAAAGTATTGCTGAGTATAAAATGATAAAAAAAATAAATGAAAGAGGACGATTTATACCTCGGCAGGTTCATTTGACAGCAGCAGTTAGGAAATACCATTTATGTTTTATGGCAGTATTACAGTTAATTCACATTAATTTCATACATGTGGTTCCTCGGGGAGAGACGAAGTTTAAAGTCACTCCGGGAAGGAGAGTTTGATATATGATTGTATCTTAATGCACCATCCCTGATGAGATTATTTGTATGAAAGTGGCAGAGAACACTAGGGGGTTGGAGGTACAGATAGAGTCTCTCTCTCTCTCTCTCTCTCTCTCTCTCTCTCTCTCTCTCTCTCTCTCTCTCTCTCTCTCTCTCT